TCTTCATCACCCTCCCTGTATTTCTTCCTTCCTTCCTTCCTTCCTTCCTTCCTTCCTTCCTTCCTTCCTTCCTTCCTTCCTACCTTCCTTCCTTTCTTCCTTCGTTCCTTCGTTCCTTCGTTCTTTTCATCCTCCCTCCCTTCCTTTTTTGTTTGTTTGTTTCCCTCTCTTCCTTCAACTCGAAAACATTTCTACGGTACGTTCTCACTACCCCATTGATGACACGTCATAGTGAACCCAGACGACTACCATGTTTTATGACACGAATAACATAACAATGTTTTTCATATGAGGACTGCCGTCTAGCATGTCACTTGATGGTCCCTGCCCAGAACCTTGAGCGGTTTCATAGCAACTCCAGATAACAGAAAACAATGTTGACACACACCTGATCGTACCAGAATCGCTTGTCTCAATGTTGGGTTCCCTGTGTATAAACACAGGAAGCCCACCCTTGAACGAAAACTTTCCTCGGCGGCATCTTGTCATTCGTGTATTTTATGTTTGGAATGGTTTTCCGATTATTTTGAGTTTTTAAAAACTTTCAAAACTTGAAGGGATTTTATTTTGTTAAATGCCCCCCTATCGTGACGAGCCTTGCGTGACGCTTATGTGGCAAACTGTTGGAAGTTGCTTACAGTGGAGGAAACTGCATGGAGTTGACAACACATCGCTTGAAATATAAATAACAAAGGTTAGTATAGTTTAGAATTATTTTATACTTATTATCCTTTTAATCTTAAGTATACTTCTTAGATTAAGTAGAACGATGAAATCTTTGAGTATCCCTTTTAAATGGCGTATAACTGATATTGTTTTAAAAGCCTTGATATACGAGAAGAAAAAGTTTAATTTCAAAGTCAAAATTTAAGCAAAATATTCTCAAATTCAAAGACTACAAATTCTTCTTAAATTTTAGACTCAAGTGGCTTAAGAAAAGATACCAAAAGATACCATTTGAATCTTTTCTTGAATAGGAATTTCCTTTTTAAGTTTTCGAGCCAAACTCGCTGTCCAATTTATGAAAATGAAAGGGTAAACAAAGACCATATCCTTGAGTAATCTTTACACGCTTATTATATATTGTAGTTTGGTTAAGATTCCCAAAAATTTGACTTCAACGAAATAAAAAGGTATTGTCTTTCTGTGAGCCCACAAGTCAAAATTAAAATTGGAAATAGGACATGGCTTCTTTGGAGATTCTATTCTTAAAAATACTTGGACTTAAATTTACATTGATAAGAAATTGTTAAAATTCTGGCTTGGAGCCATATGCAAAACGTGTTTGATATGTGTCATGAATTTAAAACTATTTATTATTGTTGAATGAGCCAATACACTAGTTTCACATTCAATGTATACCACTGTTTTTGAAGACTACAGACTCATTTGCACATGCTTAGCCTTGTTTAAAAGCTTGTTTAAAAGCCATCTATTCACAGATACCATTAAAAGTCTGTGGGATTTCAAAACATTGGTATTGTTCAAGCTGCACATTCTTTACATTAAAGTTCACATTTGCAAATGATTTGCTCTTAAGGGAGGCTAAGTCTGCAGAGATGAGTCTTCAGTCTTTAAACACAGTGGTATTTACAGAATGAAAAAAGGGACTAATTTAATCTTATTCTGCAAGAAGGAAGCCTAAAGCTGGAAAGTTACTCAATTTCTTTCATGTGACAGTGCTAATAATATAGTTTGAACTGCCTGTGATTAGATGACAGAACATCTATCCATCCATCCATCCATCCACCCATCCATCCATCCATCCATCCATCCA